CATCAATTCACTTCACTTTATTCATATTATCATTGCATCCAAACAACATTATTTTCCATAGCTTTCTAGAGCCAATTTGTGAAGTTTGAGTTGTTCTTGAGCGTATATAGTTTACTCAACATCTACTCTTAAAGAGAGTCTTGTTCTTGAGTGTTCTTAGTGTTGTAAACACGTTTAGGGAAGCTTGTTTCCCTTGGTTGTACGAAGGAAAGGTATTTTCCTTCGGGTTGAAGTCTTGGAGTGTGGTATCTCCGAGCAAGTGTATTGAGGCTCGTGGGACTCGAGTTCTCAGGTTGTAACGGTTTGTTAAGCACCCGTAAGCTTAACGGAAGTAGTGTAGCTCGAGAGAGTCTCTCGGGAGGCTGGATTAGCCACAAGTTATGGTGAACCAGGGTAAATCTTGGTCTGCTCCCTTTACTCCTTTTTATTCTGCTCTTTACTTTATCCCTGCGATTTTTATTCTGCGAAAATTTATAAACATTCTTGTGCCTCACTATTCACCCCCCTCTAGTGAAGGGAACTTATTTTAACAAGACACTCCATTTAACTTAGGTGTCCCCGGAGGAGTGAGTTGGGAAAAAATCCCATGCTCTTTCAGATAGTCATCGAACTCTAGGCTTAAGTATTCACCTCCTCGATCCGAGCGGAGGGTCTTAATACTTTTGCCTAATTGTTTTTCTACTTCGTTCTTGAATTCTTTGAATTTGTCAAAGCATTCCGATTTGTGTTTCATGAGATACACATATCCATATCTACTAAGGTCGCCAGTAAATGTAACGAAGTAAGAATAACCACCTCTAGCTATAGTGTTAATTGGACCACACACATCGGAGTGTATGAGGCCCATTAAGTCACTCGCCCTTTCACCGTGACCGGTGAATGGAGCCTTTGTCATTTTACCAAGTAAACAAGATTTACATACATCATATGACTGGAAGTCAAATGAATCAAGTACACCGGAATGATGTAACTTAGATATGCGTTTCTCGTTAATGTGGCCCAAACGAAAATGCCAAAGGTACGCGAGATTCAAACTGTTAGGTTTGTTTCTCTTAACATCTACGTTATATACTGCGATATCCATGTCGAGGACATAGAGACCGTTGGTCATTTTTGCAGTTGCATAAAATATTTCATTTCTAAAGACAGAAAGAGTTTTGTCTTTTACAACGAACGAAAATCCTGCTTTGTCAAGGCAGGATACAGAAATGATGTTTCTGCTCATACTGGGTACAAACAGACAATTATTTAAATGCAATACAAGACCACTAGGTAGAGATAAACTATAGGTTCCGACGGCTAATGCATTTACGAGTGTGCCATTGCCGACTTTTAGTTGTATCTCTCCCTCCGTCAATTGTCTACGTTCATGCAGATCCTCCATAGAAGTACAGATGTAAGAACCACATCCAGTATCCATCACCCAAGAGGTGATATCAGACATATTGACTTCAATAACGAAGATACCTGAGGTTTGAGGTTTTTATCCCTCTTTCCTCTCTGCCAGTAATTTTGCGCAGTTGCGCCTCCTGCGGCCCCTTTTGCCACAATAATAGCATACAGCAAACTTCTTCTTAGCTCCCTCTTTGGGTTTCAACGAAGAGGAGTTGGACGCTGGCTTGGGTTTCTTAGAACCCTTGCGCTTGGTCCCGGCCGGCGAACGTGGCCCACTCTTCTTCGCAATAGTACTGCCCTCTACCATCAGGACAGACTTACCCTTTCCCTTCCCTAGACTCTCCTCAGCAGTTGTGAGGAATTTCAGTAGCGCAGGCATAGTCATCTCTAGTTTGTTCATGTAGAAGTTCACTACAGTTTGACTATACTCAGCTGGTAATGATCCCAAGATGAGATCAGTTGCCAGCATAGGGTGCAACGGGGCGTCCAGTTTTTCAAGAGTTTCGATCTGACCGATCATCTTGAGAACGTGGGGACCAACTAGGTTACCCGTTGCCAGCTTACTGGAAAACAGAGTCGTAGAGATTTTGAAATGCTCATGTCTAGCCTGGCCTTGGTATAGACCTTTCAAGCGAGTCATCATAGGATGAGCTTCCATGTCCTTATGGAGCCTTTGGAGTTCCGGGGTCATGGTGGCTAGCATGAGACATCTCACATCACGTGCGTCATCTTCATACTTCTTGTACGAAGTATTTTCGGCAGCACGGGCGTTTGCTTCAGGAGCTTTGGGAGGCTCAGAGGTAAGGACATAGAGCTTTTTCTCGCATTTGAGAACAATCTTAAGATTCATCTCCCAATCAAGAAAGTTGGTTCCAGATAATTTTTCCTTTTCTAGAACATATCGCAGGTTGAAAGTGTTGGAACAAACTTTGTACGATAAAATAAAGTCGTGTTCATTTCTGACAGGTTTTGATAATTGCCAAACCACCGTGGATATAAAGAGTTTCGTTGAATAACTCAAGGCGTGAAGAATGGCTTGGAACAAGACCTAAAAGACTCAAGGACAAGATCAGGAATTGAAGACTTAGTCGAGTCAGTCTTTTGTAATCAAAACCGACAATAAATTCAAGTCTCGGTTCTCAAAAAAAGTCAAAACAATTTTTACAAATCATAAAAAAAATTTTGTACATCAAAACAAACATTTTTGATTATTTCTTTTATTATTAAAATCCCTGGTCCTTGCTCAGAACAGAAACCACCTAAGTCGGCGTTCGGCTTTCGACGTTCGGTTTTTGGCGCCCGAACCAACTCTGTGGTTTTGAATATTTTAAACCCTGTTTTTACTTCTGAGCATTTTTAAAATGTTCCCAAATAATTATTTTATAAAAACCACTTTTGTATCTTGGTCAATCGGTCTAACACGTGAAAAACGGTCTAAACCGTAAGCACGTATTATACGACCTTGGAGACTTGGTTTTTACCAAACAAGTCTTGTGTTCACTATTTTATACCATATACAATATTTTCCAAACCTGGTTTTTACTTTTGGGAACACTTCGTTTTTGGACCTTGGTTTTTCAAAACGGGTTTCTGCTGGCTAGACTTTAGCTAGGTGATAATCGATTATCACCTTAGTGACAATCGACTATGAGCCCCTGCAGCTTTGAACTTCCAAATTTCTGAAGCACGCAATAATCGATTATCAGCTTTGCGATAATCGATTATCAGTCTTTGCAGCCAAAACCCAGAATCTTCTAAAAGGACCAATATTCGATTATCACTTGTTGACAATCGATTATCTAGGTTATCGTTGTCCTCCAACGGATAGAATTTTAAATTTTTGGACAGGGAATCTTTGGATAATCGATTATCAAGCTTTGACAATCGACTATCACCCTGTGTCTCTGAAAAATTTGTCTTCATCTTGTTGGAAACTCTAGCAACGGATTTATCCCATTTTATACACAATTCTTCAACATTTCAATACTCCTTCATTGCATAAGCATTCCTATTTTTCTTAGCTATTTGAGAGCCAATTCTTGAAGAAATTGTCGTGTTCTTGAGTGTTTAATAGTTCACTCATATCTACTCTTTGTGAGAGTTTTATTCCTAAGTGTTTAAGTGTTTTCATACACTTTAAGGGAGGTCGTTCCCTTGTTGTAAACTCGAAGGAAGTTCCTTGTTCCTCCGTGAGAAGTCTTGGAGTGCGGTATCTCCAAGCAAAGTTGTTGAGGCTCGTGTGACTTGGGTTCTCAAGTTGTATCGGTTTGTTAAGCACCCTTAAGCTTAACGGAGTTAGTGTAGCTCGAGACAGTCTCTCGGGGGGCTGGATTAGCCACACGTTGTGGTGAACCAGCATAAAATCCGGTGTGCTCCTTCCTTACGCTCTTTACTTTAATGCTCTCGTTTTAATTTCCTGCGAATTTTGTTTTAAACGCTATTCACCCCCCCTCTAGCGTTGGGCCTTTATTCTAACAATTGGTATCAGAGCCATACTCTCTGAAAGACTTAACCGTTTGAGAGGAACGATCAATGGCTTCTACTCAAAGTTCATACGCAGGTTTAAGTGAAGGGAAATCCACCACGACGCCTCCATTGTTTGATGGAACAAACTACACCTATTGGAAGGAGCGGATGAGGATTTACATCCATTCCACGAACTTTCTCCTTTGGAGAATTATCAAAAATGGTGAGAACGTGCCAATGAAGAAGGTCGAGGAAACCAACGTCCCTAAGACTGAGGATGAATATGATGCGCAAGACATCAAGAAGGTGGAAAACAATGCCAAGGCCATCAACATCATCTATTGTGCCGTTAACCCAGATGACTACCGGAAGATTTCTTGTTGCACCACCGCAAAGGAAATGTGGGACAAACTAGAAATCACCTACGAAGGTACGGATCAAGTCCGAGAAGCTAAAATTGATTTTCTAACCCATGAATATGAATTGTTTCGTATGAAGAAAAACGAGAAAATCGATGAGATGTTTGAACGATTCTCCAAAATCGTCAATGATCTTCATGCTCTCAAGAAGACGTACACGGACAAGGAGCTTGTGAGAAAAATCCTGCGAAGTCTCACACCGGAGTGGCGCTCCAAAGCCGATGCCATTCAAGAGTCCATCGGCATCACCAACGTCACCATTGACGGACTTAGAGGTAACCTCAAAACCTAGGAGTCCACCATTCTATTCCCTTCTTTAGGTGAACAAAAGAAGAAGGGGATTGCACTCAAGGCTACCTCAAGCCAAGAACCCGCCATGGAAGAATCAAGCAATGAGGACAACGAGTTCGGGCTCGTCATCAAAAAATTCCACAAGTTCATGCGAAAAGAGTATGAACGAAAGGGCAAAAGGCATGGAGGACCACCCAAGTGCTATGGGTGTGGAGAAGTTGGGCACATCAAGCCAAAATGCCCAAACTCCAAAAACGAGAAGGAGAAGAAACCGTTCAAGAAGCACCGAGCTTACATTTCATGGGGAGGTGATTCCGGCGATGAGTCATCGGAAGGCGAAGAAAATGAAAGCGCCAACCTCTGCCTCATGGCACACGAAGAACCACCGGAAAAGGTATGTACCACTTCTAAAGATTCCTATACTTTTCATGATGTACAAGAAGCCTTTAATGAACTTTATGATGAATATGTCAACGCTTCTAAAATTAACAAGGATTTGAAGAAACAACTTACTTCCATGGAGAAGGAAGTTGATAAACTATCAAAATATAATGAAAAACTTAAAGAAGAAAATAAGTTTTTCGGAAAAAGAAGCGCCGACAAACCGGAAAGTTCAAAATGTAGTTCTTGTATATCACTTAAGGATCAAGTTGCAAAACTTGAAGGAACTTTGAAGAAGTTTGGTGTTTCTCATAAAAACCTTAATGATGTTCTTGACAATTTGCAACTTACTAAACATGGCTTAGGTTTTGAAAATGAAACNGTACCTAAAACTTTTTAAATTGGTTTGTAGGTGTGCTTGAAGGCATCAAGTGTACTTTGGTACCTTGATAGCGGATGCTCCAAGCACATGACCGGAGATGCATCCAAGTTTTTGCAAATCAAACCAACTAAAGGAGGAAACGTTGTCTTTGGCGATAATAGCAAAGGCAAGATAATTGGCATTGGTTCAGTTGGTAAAAACGAAAACTCCTCTATTGATAATGTTTTGTTGGTTAAGGGTCTTAAACACAATCTCTTGAGCATAAGTCAATTGTGTGACAAGGGAAATCGTGTGACCTTCGATTCCAAATCATGTACGGTAGAACGTCTTAGTGACGATAAGACGATTCTTCGTGGTGATAGAATTGATAACATTTACATGGTTAACTTAGATGAATCTCCCTCCGACTTTGCAAAATGTCTCATGAGTAAGGAGGACGATATGTGGCTATGGCATCGTAGAGTAGCTCATGTCAACATGAATCTTCTGAATAAATTGGTTTCACAAGACCTAGTAGTTGGCCTACCAAAACTCAAGTTTAAGAAAGACACCATTTGTGATTCATGTCAAAAGGGCAAGCAAGTAAGGGCCTCATTTAAATCAAAGAATGTTGTGTCTACAACAAGGCCCCTACAACTTTTGCACATGGATCTCTTTGGACCATCAAGAACAAAAAGTTTTGGGGGAAACTATTTCGCCTTTGTGATTGTTGATGACTACTCCCAATTCACATGGACATTATTTCAAACTCATAAAAGTGAGGCATTTCATGTTTTCAAAACTTTTCTCAAAAAGGTTCAAAATGAAAAAGGCTTAACCACCGTAGCCATACGAAGCGATCATGGTGGAGAGTTCGAACGAGATCTCTTTACTGAGTTTTGTGACGAACTAGGCATCGAGCATAACTTCTCCGCTCCACGTACACCACAACAAAATGGCGTGGTGGAACGTAAAAATCGTTGCCTTGAGGAGATGGCTAGAACTATGCTTGATGAGGCAAAAATTCCTAAGTATTTTTGGGCGGATGCCGTGAGTACTGCGAGCTACGTGTTAAACCGAGCCGTCATTAGACCGATACTCATGAAAACCCCATACGAACTATACAAAGGAAAAAAGCCAAACCTCTCCCATCTTCGAGTCTTTGGTTGCAAATATTTTGTTCACAATAACGGAAAAGATAATTTGGGTAAATTTGATGCAAAGTCGGATGAAGAAATTTTTCTTGGTTATTCATTGCGTAGTAAGGCTTATAGGGTCTTCAACAAACGCACCTTAACCGTTGAGGAATCTCCTCATGTTGTCTTTGCCAAAAATGATGCTCGCTTGGCGAGAAAGGTTTCCTGTGATGATCTTATAGATTCGTTGGAAAACATCTACGACGATGACAAAGTAGACAACTCAAAGAAAAGCCAAGATGAAGAAGTAGAGCCACCCGTAAATGAGGAACAACCACAAGAGGAGGAAACGCCAATGCCAAGGGCATGGAGGACTTCAAAGAACCATCCTCTTAACAAGGTGATCGGTGACATCAACCGAAAGGGCTCTTTGTTTTTAATTTTATTTTCAGGTGTCAAAGTCAGGGGGAACAAAGCAAATCGATTTTTTCTTGTCTCCAGACCTGGTGTAAATCGATTTACAGGCTTGTGATAATCGACTATCACAACCCACAGGAGTTGGAGCAAAGAAACTGAAGGAGCCAACAATCGATTATCACGGGCTGCAGAACTTTCTCAAAAGTCAGGCGCAAACCAGCAACAATCGATTATCAACTATAAGATAATCGATTATTTAAGCCTGCAGAAGTTAAAGGCAACTCAGGCGCAAACTACAACAATCGATTTACAACGAGGCAGAAATCGATTATTGAAGCCTGCAGTTTCTTTGGCGGAGAATCTGAAGCCTCAGATAATCGATTTACAGGGAGTGTAAATCGATTATCAACGGCAATTTTTCAAAAATCTGACCGTTGCAGGGACGTTGGAGAGAAGTTAATGCCTTGTTTGACCATCCCAACGGATCTCTACACCTCCTCCACTATATATTGGTGATATCTACTCCATTTTTACTCATTCTAATCATCTCTTCTCCATATATTCATCATAATTCATCATTCTTGCTCCTATTCTTCATTGTTTTTCAAAAATTTCTGCAATCTCTCTCTCCTCTCTTGTTGCAAAGGCAGGCGGTCAAAGAAAGTGTTCCCGCACCGGCAAGAACGTTGCTTCCTCCTCGGCTCCTCCACCACCGGCGCACAAGTATCTCGACGGGTCGTTCCTTTGGTTCAACGACCACGAAGAGGCGACGCGGTTCTCGGAAAAGTTTGAGCATCGGGAAATTCTCCCTCCCCGATTCTCCACCGCCCGCTTCATTCATGACTCCATTCCACGTGAGGCACGGATTATCCTCGAACGTGGAAACTTCCTCGACCTCCTCTACATCAAGAAGGTCAATTATCACCAGTTTCTTGTTCGAGCTTTCTACTCGAACTTGAAAAAGGATGAGGACGGAGCGTTGATCTCTAACGTCAACGGGGTGGACATCTATTTGAATGAGGAAAACATTCAAATTCTCACAGGGCTTCGTCGGGACGGACAGGATCTCGGGCTCTACGTCGGAGAAGAAGGAGCACAGTTCAACGAAACCGCTCTCTTGGAGGAAGTGGGCATCCGACACTTCGTCCCCACTCCCCAACAGCGGCGCCCTATGATTGCTTCCATGAGCCCCGTGTTTCGATTCATTTTTAATGTTTGGACACGGATTCTCAAGCCCAGGAAGTTCAATCACACCACTCTCTCCCATGAGGACACGAAGACAATTCATGCGATTATTCACAACGCCAATCTCAATTGGTGTAAATTTGTGATGACTCACATGTTCACAGCCACCTCCGACAATCGGCCGCTCCCCTACGCCCTCCTTGTCATGGCGATTCTTGAAGAGTATAACATCAAAACCGATGTTGGGCCAACGATAAAGGGGCCAAAGAAGAGAAAGAGGAAGCCGATGATGATGATGATGATGGCGATGGTGATGAAGATGAAGAAGAAGACATTGACGAAGAACAACTTCTCAATGATCTTTCCCCGGATTTCTAGAGCTCTAGCTCTACTTTCTTCTCTTCCTTATTTTATCATCTCTTAATACGCTTTCGTTATGTACTCCGTTATTTCCCTTAATTAATTAATAAAAATCTGTATGATTTTTGTTGTTAACAATCTTTTTGTTAATGTCAAAAAGGGGAAGATAAGGGCTATGCATATATTAAGGGGGAATTTTTTATTAAAAAGATCAAAATCATATGCATATCCCCGTCTTGCTTGCCATTATCAAAAAGGGGGAAATTGTTGGAACACACTTTGTACGATAAACTAAAGTCGTGTTCATTTCTGATAGGTTTTGATAATTGCCAAACCGCCGTGGATATAAAGAGTTTCGTTGAATAACTCAAGGCGTGAAGAATGGCTTGGAACAAGACCTAAAAGACTCAAGGACAAGATTAGGAATTGAAGACTTAGTCGAGTCGGTCTTTTGTGATCAAACCGACAATAAATTCAAGTCTCGGTTCTCAAAAAAAGTCAAAACAATTTTTACAAATCATAAAAAAAATTTTGTACATCAAAACAAACATTTTTGATGATTTCTTTTATTGTTAAAATCCCTGGTCCTTGCTCAGAACCGAAACCACCTAAGTCGGCGTTTGGCTTTCGACGTTCAGTTTTTGGCGCCCGAACCAACTCCGTGGTTTTCAATATTTTAAACCCTGTTTTTACTTCTGAGCATTTTTAAAATGTTTCCAAATAATTATTTTATAAAAACCACTTTTGTATCTTGGTCAATCGGTCTAACACGTGAAAAACGGTCTAAACCGTAAGCACGTATTATACGACCTTGGAGACTTGGTTTTTACCAAACAAGTCTTGTGTTCACTATTTTATACCATATACAATATTTTCCAAACATGGTTTTTACTTTTGGGAACTTTTCGTTTTTGAACCTCGGTTTTTCAAAACGGGTTTCTGCTGGCGAGACTTTAGCTGGGTGATAATCGATTATCACCTTAGTGACAATCGACTATCAGCCCCTGCAGCTTTGAACTTCCAAAGTTCTGAAGCACGCAATATTCGATTATCAGCTTTGCGATAATCGATTATCAGTCTTTGCAGCCAAAACCCAGAATCTTCTAAGAGGACCAATAATCGATTATCACTTGTTGACAATCGATTATCTGGGTTACCGTTGTCCTCCAACGGATAAAATTTTAAATTTTTGGACAGAGAATCTTTTGATAATCGATTATCAAGCTTTGACAATCGACTATCACCCTGTGTCTCTGAACAATTTGTCTTCATCCTGTTGGAAACTCTAGCAACGGATTTATCCCATTTTTGGGCTATAAAATGGCACCCAAATCCTCTCATTTTATACACAATTCTTCAACATTTCAATACTCCTTCATTGCATAAGCATTCCTATTTTTCTTAGCTATTTGAGAGCCAATTCTTGAAGAAATTGTCGTGTTCTTGAGCGTTTACTAGTTCACTCATATCTACTCTTTGTGAGAGTTTTATTCCTGAGTGTTTAAATGTTTTCATACACTTTAAGGGAGGTCGTTCCGTTGTTGTAAACTCGAAGGAAGTTCCTTGTTCCTTCGTGAGAAGTCTTGGAGTGCGGTATCTCCGAGCAAAGGTGTTGAGGCTCGTGTGACTCGGGTTCTCAAGTTGTATCGGTTTGTTAAGCACCCTTAAGCTTAACGGAGTTAGTGTAGCTCGAGAGAGTCTCTCGGGGGGCTGGATTAGCCACACGTTTTGGTGAACCAGGATAAAATCCGGTGTGCTCCTTCCTTACGCTCTTTACTTTAACGCTCTCGTTTTAATTTCCTGCGAATTTTGTTTTAAATGCTATTCACCCCCCTCTAGCGTTGGGCCTTTATTCTAACAGAAAGGGTTGTTGTTTGCCATCTACAGAAAATTTTGCAAACTAGGTTATCTATCATGTTTAATAATTAGTTAGGCCTTTAATTAATTCTCTCCCACTATTTTTAACAAATCAATAACCATCGATATTGATTCGGAGATTTCCGGCGAAACCTCTAGTTGGCCAAGATCCATATTTCATTATCTTGCGTTCCGCTTGGGCGTTACTCCACAAGACAACTATATAGGTAGGAACATAGTTCCAACTGATGAGCCGGGCTCTCAGCTCTGGGTCTGGTGTTGGGCGAACAATATTACTACAACCGGACCAGGACACCTTTTCACCATACTTGTAATTGGCTGAGGCACTTCTCACAAGCAGACTACTTTGGTTAGGAACAGAGTTCCAATTAAATCATAAAGATCCAACTCGTGGCTGGATGAGTGAGTAAAATCATCCGACTTGTCATTGATGACCCCAACTTACTGCCTTTGAGTCGTCCATCCATTTGACCGAGACTCAGTTAAGTCTAACCCAACGTGCGACAGCGACCACGCTATGGCGGTTCCCGCAACCAGCTTAACACACACCGTACTATGCTCTGCTGAGGCTGAGTACATGACAGTGCACATTAGTCGGATAGGTGTCGGGCGTCAGAAGGCAACAGACTTAATATTCGTGAGGGATTTATAATTTCGATCTCACCTATCGACATGGCCGCGCACATGTCCATTACTAGCGTTCAACATACATTCAACATGCATTCACAAAACGCAGTAAATAAACGTGTAATGATTGTGGCCCCTAAAAGAAAAATAAAACGATAGCTCCTACTAGCTTCCGGGCACTTGGACTTTGGGCTATCTCCATTCTTTTAGATTTCTTCAAACGGTCTTCAAATCTTTTCGTCTTCTAACCACCACGTGAGAAAAGAATCCTCGGTTGAGGTAAGAGAGAGAAATAGATTTACAACAAGAGTTTATGTCTATTCCGTGCTGTGCGTCCGGCATAATATTAGTTTATTTGATATCGGTGTTAGTAGGTGGTACGTATAGTTACATCCACACAAGCAATAGAGATATACATACACCGGGTGAACCGCGCTCACCCCAGACAGTTCTAGAAAAATACTACGGGAGTAAATATTTTCTAAAACTCATAAAATTAAATTAGATGTCCAAATGAATCTAATAAAATTTTATAAAATCATTTTATAAAATCTGGATATTTGGCCATCATAAAAAAAATTTCAGAATATTTCAAAAAAGGCCATTAAAATTTCGAAACAATTTTGCAAAAATCATGAAAATTAAATTTCAACTTCCAGTAATTATTTTCAACATTTATAAACCTGGAAATAAAATTTCCAAAATTTATAAATCATTATTTCCATAATATATTATTTAAATCTCAATAAGTTATTAAAAGGCCATTTAAATTATTTTCGAAAACATTAAATTATAAAAATTTAATATTTTGAAAAACATTTTATTTCTTACTGAGATATAACTTTAAAAAATATATATGAGTCATTTATGTAAATAAAATACAAATATATAAATATATATAATATTTCGGTAATAATACCGAGTACATATACAAATATATATTTATTTAATTACTAACTAATATTATTTTGTACAATATATTTGTCAACAACCTTATTCAACATAGAAATAATATTTCTAATTTTAATAAAGTTCTGTTTGAATTTTCCCATATTTATTTTCGGTTTTCACCTAAATAAATACAATAAATTCAAAATAGGAAATAATACATTCAAAAATTACAATATAATTTTATCAATCATAAAATGATGTTTTATGTCCAAATAAAATTATATCTACTATTTCTACAATATATATAAATATATATTTCGAAAAATCAAAATATATGTATTTATATATATATTACGGGTAGAAATAAAAAAACAATAAATTTAAAATTCATTCTCAATAATTTATTTAAGTCCAATACTTATTTCAAGACTAAATAAAAATCATTTTACCATTTTTTTGAATTTTAATCATTACCAAGTTAAAACTTTGACTTTTAAAATTTTAAAAGTCAAACGTAAAACTATAGTTTTGTACGTTGGCTCTGATACCACTGAAAGGTAACCATGCAAGGATAGGCAGCGAAATATAAAAAATTTTAACATCCTAACATGATTATCTTGCCCAGAATCACGTACTAAAACTTATAGTAAGTAAGAAATTTATACCTTTCTCCGTAAGAGATAAAAACGAAGAAGCCGTAGGAAGAGCGTTGAAAGTGCAACCGTAACCGTACAAGCGTCCGGTCTCCAACTTTGACACACGAACAACGCCAGAGTCTACCACAATCTTTATGCTAGTAAAAATTATAGTAGTATAAAATATAAAGATTAAAATTGGGATAATAATAATCTTGTATATTTCTATAGAAAATATTTCTAATAGTATTTAGAAAATATTATAGATATTTTCTATACACAAAATGATATTAATGGAACACAAAAGAATTTTGCTCTCTCAAGAAATGCTATGGCCGAATGAAAACTCTCTCAACAATACAATATTGTGTATCATTATTATAAAGAGATTTTAAAGATCAATAATACACAAAATGACAAATTAGAAAATTTCAACATCTTTAAATATATGCAAAATCAAAAGGGAAAATTGTCCTTTGTAATGTCACATGGCCGAAAGTGGATTCTGAAAAGTGAGAAGGATTCTTGAAATTCTTCTCTACTTAAATGTTCAAAGTGTATTTTATTTGACACCAAAAATTAATATAAAATTAATTTTAAATCAAATAAAATACCCATATCATTTTTAAACAAGTATAAAATATACTTCAAATAGTTTATGTCAAAATAATTATTTTCATAATTAAAATGACAAACCAAAATAAAATATTCAACAGATAATATATTTATATATATATTTCGGTGTTATCATATATGTATTAAATATATACATAAACCATATATATAATATATTATACCCCAAAATATTTTATTTTACTATTTTACAAATATACAAATTACTTATTATCCCATTGTTTAATCCTACTCCTTAAATTGTCCAAAGTGTGTGACCCGTATAGGCACTTATAAAGCTGGCCACAGTATTGGCTCTACACCAATACTATAAGCAATAAGCGGTATCTAGCAACACATTATTGCCCCCAGATTATAAGTTAAGACGTTTGCACCGTCAAAACCTTTCCACGACTCAGACTCCGTGTAACTGTATCCCATTGTCTCAATGTCTAGACTTAATGCAAGGGATTAATAAAATCCAGCTTGTATCCATTAAGTCATTCACTGATTTATCAAGTGTGACTGATAGGAACAGACGTCATAAAAGCATCTCAGCATGGCCATGCAATTTGCTCAATCATAACTTATCAGTGGGCCCGCATAAGACATTAATCTCTTTTAAAAAGAGTAGTGACAAATCCT